GACGACAAAGCGATGCACATGTGGACCTAGAATCTGGTCGATATCTCGAGCGGCCGTCACAGTGCTTTGGACGAGCACCAATTCCGATCTGCGGATGTATGAGATGGCTCCCCACACCATGACACTTTCTCCACCACATCTGTCCACTTGCCTGAAGGAGTTGGGCCTTAATGTTCATTGCGTCGTTGGAGGAGATAACGAGGTTCACCACTGAACCATATGTGCCTCGAATTTCCAAGGTTCCATGGCTACACCGTGTTACACCACATGACTCGCCGACGTTGACGTTGTCGTGTTAGTGAGGGGGCAACTTTTGGACGTTTGGCACGCATACCTACCTCTCGGTTCCTGATTTTCTGATCGGACTCACTCCGGGCTCAAAATCGTCCTTATACTGTGTCCCGGGGGAACGATGGCGATCACGTAGGGGGGCTACACGGATGTAGCGATCTTGGGCTGGTGTGGTGACTCGCGGTCTTCCTGATATTGGACGGTCATTTGTCGAATTGGAATGCACAAAACGATCCCACAAACGAGTTATTGTGCTGGGATGAACGCTTAAGGTCCTCGCCTCAACACTCTTTGATTCGCCAGCTTGTATTCGTTCAATGGCAATATTTCGGTCGGTTGTGTTGAGACGTCCCATTTTCTCATCCAGTACTTGCAAAGATCTTGGATGAATTTGCGAGATGCACTTGGGTCTTTCATAGTCAAATTTTGTACAAATGTTTTGCACGAGAAAAGCAATAATTGCGCCTTCTGGTTGTGTTCCATGGCCGTCAAGCTCATCATGACAACCATTATCAGTTAAACCCTTCAAAATCGTTTATGGTTGCGTTCGCTCAGGCATGTTCTTCTAAACCATACTGGTCAACAACAATATTTAACCCTCAAAACATGTTTAATTTGACATGTGCGTACAAACTTTCGATCATTATTTTCACCTTTCATTTTGCGGGGTTTTTTTTTACGAATGTACGGTGACGGAATAAACTTCTCTCGATCTATTCATTGTTGAACGAATAAATCTGGGTTATTATTTTTTATTCAAACTCTGACAGATCAACAACTTGAAATAATTTCAGAATGTGAAGATATAGAAATGTCCAAATGAAAATGAATTAACACCATGCTTCTAAACATAAAATGACGTCACCCTAGGGAGTGGTACAAATGCACTGATGCTCTTATACCATTAGCTGGATAAAAACACCCAACGATAGTGCTCCCAAGCTGTGAAAGAGAACCCACATAAAAACGGCACTTATAAATGCTTACTGTGGGGTAGGCATCCCGTTATACTCAGGCACTAAGCTAGTACTGACTTCATGTTCAACTGTGTTTATTTACAACATATTGTGAGTTTAAATATTTCTTTTAACATTTCATCTGTGTTTAGTTAATGTTTTAGCGTATTGTTCCTATGCAAGAGTATTAGTGCCACGGCCTAAAAAAATATGACCATCTACCTGAATGATTTTATGATTTATGTAGATAGTATGTTGCTTCTATATATAGTTGAAAAACGTAGAAACATACTTATATCTACGTATATGACACGTATTTTATGACACATATGATATTTACGAGCGTGACTTTACTATCTACTAAGGTGAAGGTATAATCTTCGTTCGATCTATCTACTTTGGTAAACATATTTTCTCCAGCAATCGATGATAGTTCCGGATTTGTTTGATATAACCTCTGGATTAGTTGATAATATTTCACCTTGAACCATGATATGTCTTTTAAGGAATTATCAGAAGATCCAATAAATATGTCGACGTTTTGTTGAATGAATATATCTGGGTTATTTTCTATTTAAACTCTGACAGATCGGCAACTTGAAATAATTTCAGAATGTGAAAACACCGAAATGTCCAAATAAAAATGATTGAGTGTGTTGGGTTTTACGCCGCTTTTAGCAATATTCCAGCAACATCACGGCGGGGGACACCAGAAATGGTCTTCACACATTGTACCCAAGTGGGGAATCGAACCCGGGCCTTCGGCGTGACGAGCAAACGCTTTAACCACTAGGCTACCCCACCGCCCAGCACTGTCAGAAATGATACGTGGCGACTGGTTAGAATGTCTGTTGTGAATATTTCTTGTCAAGCAATTCGGTGATAATAATTTGAAGATGTGAAATAAAACGGGTTTTTTTACTTTTAACCTTCAGACCTAGGACATCAGTACCAAGATGTAAATTAACACTGACAGTTCGATTAACGTCACTCTAGGAAGTGGTACAATTGCACTGATGCCCTTATACCATTAGCTAGATAAAAACCATCCCACGATGACGCTCACTAGATGTTTAAGGTAAGCGTTACTGCAAAGGCACCCACATAGTAACGGCACTTGTGCTTACTGTGAGATAGGCGTCGTTGTATACCAAATCACTAAGGTAGGACTGGCTTCATGTTCAACTGTGTTTATTTACTAGATACTGTGATTGTAAATATTTCTTTTACAATTTCATCTTTGTTTAGGTAAAAAAAATTGTTCGATTGCTTTGTGAGATGTTTTTCGGTTTTGTATTACAAAGACTATTGTGTTTGATCCTGTGTTCGTGGAAGGGGAATGAGGAACGATTGGTCCGGTCGTCTAATTTGTCTGGATTCGCGTCCTTTGGGCACGACAAATACTTATGATCACGGGTTGGAATCCAGGTCCACCCCGATTATGTTACTACCCATATTCTTGGGGTCAATCTTGTGGTATATTCCCGAGGCCTCAGTCACTTCCAGGCTATCCTCCTATATAGAGTTGACTCTGTGACAGAACTGGAATGTTGTCCGAAGCGACTTTAAACCAAACTCACCAACTCAGGAAAGAGAAATTAGACATTATAGAGACATACACATGGGAATGCATATACTATATGCACGATTTGAAATGATTATGATGTCTTCATGGTCCTTGCTTGTCCTAAGACACGTACAACGATACAACGATCCGCTGCCAGGTCAAATCAGATCACCTGATGAAGTTAAGTCAACCCTGTAAACTATACTCATGCCACCCCTTCAATTTTTTTTATTGGAGAGGGGATGTGGGGTGTGGGGTGTGTGTGTGTGTGTGTGGGGTTTGGGGTGGAGAGGGGGTCACAACCATTATTGGCATGAGTATATTTAAAACGAACACGCCTACAAGAAACTGGCTTAGGACATCAAAACCAAGATGCAAATTTACACCGACCGTTCGATTCAGGTCATTCTGGTAAGTGGTAAAATCACTGATGAAGTCTATGAAGTATAGGAAGTACTGCATTTGCAGGACTTCTCTTGAAGAGAGAAAAATGCTTATGAAAAATGCCTTCATCTGAAGAAACCATTGTGAAATATGACATTTATACATGTATTCATGCAGTTGTTTCTGAAATGATGGCTGTTTTGTTCATTGCGACGGCATAATTAACTATACGTTATTGACAGCTGGATCACCAAGACATTTTAGAACGACACCAAAGCGTGTGTTATTTTCGACATGCATTTCATATATAATGATTGAACGATTCGTGGACCTGGTTTGTTAGGACAACTACTGCTGGAGACTAATCTTGTCAATGTGTAGTGTATGCAAAGAGACGAAACTCCGTGCAGTGACACGTTAATCTAAAGTTATTAATTAAAGGGATTCTGGCAACAACAGGGTTGTGGATTACAGCTTTGAGTGAAATACTTCTATGCTGGCACCAACGTTTCTAATTTGTTTGTTCTTTGTTTAACGCTCTACTCAGCAATATTCCCGCTAATTTACTGATCTTATGGGCCAAACGCAAGGTGACCAACACCAATTTCAATGTCTTACATGTGTGACTCTGGCATCAACATGATAAAAAGGCTGGCAATGCTGTCAAAACATTCAAAACTGTGTTTGTTGTTTCACTCAGCAATATTCCAGCTATGTGTCAGTGGTCTGTAAATGGTTGAGTCTGGACCAGACAATCCAGTGCTTAACATCATGAGCATCGATCTACGCAACTGGGATACGATGACACGTGTCAGTCAAATCAGCGAGCCTGACAGCCCGATCCCGTTAGTCGCCTTTTACGACAAAAACGGGATAATGAAGATCACTTTTAACCCGGATATTCACGGGACCCGCGTTTCTAAGTCATGGGGTATAATCTACTTAACGTATACAGAGCAATACAGAGTTGCGCCCCTTGGATTCGTAAGGATCATTTGACCGTGCGTTCGAATTCCGCATTCGCCAGATTTGCAATATAGGGTTTGTAACCACCGCTTACGTGGAGTGGGCTTCTCCAAAGTTAAGCCTGTGCCAATTCGGGCTATCCTCCAATGGGAAACACGGTGTTAAAAGCTATACACTCACTGATTCACCATACACATGTGAAGATGTTGGAAGTCGTAAGGTTGCACTCTTTGTGGAAATGGGGCAATGTCATTAAACTGAAATATCATCAAGAACACTTGGAGCTCTTTATTAACCCGTAACGAAAGAAAATTGTGGGCCACTAACCTTTAGTAACTTGTGCCACAGAATTTCTGATTACGTGACAAAATCGTTGTGAATACCCGGTTCTCTTTATCAAACTTGTAAAGAAGAAAAGGTCTTATGCCATCTCAGATTTCATGGTTACATATAAAGAATTACATACTTTATGTCAAATATTGTAACATCTCATCTGTTGATGTAATAAAACACTTCCTCTGCATACAGCTGGGTGCAAAAACACAACCACCCAGATTCGTGTAGATAGGCATTAAGTGTTAGACTAAAAGTTAATGAAATTTGCGTTTACAATCAGACCAGTTTAGGAACGACCTGAATCTATCTTGTTTTGAAAGTCAAGTCATCCGACTATAGTCCCGTTTTAAGACAGAACGGGGTTCGTTGTCTCGTTGCGTGACTCTGTCTGAATGACGTCAAACTACTTCTACCCGACAGACCCCTGTCCCGTCTCTTCACGCATGTAGAGTTGAGCGATTTATGGGGAAAACATAGAATTTTGCAGATAATGCTTGCATTGTGTATGACGTTGCCTTGCTATGTTCGAGGTGTCCTCATTCACTGACATAACGTCAATTGTGTAATATCCTCATTCATGTCAGGACGTTTTGTGGTCGAGGAGAATAGGCCTCGTTAGAGGTCGTCACTATACCTGATTGTGCAAATACAGTTATTGAATGGAAACACTCTGTTAACCCACATTTCACTGCACAGAAAACATAAACAACCCCAGGATGAGAAGGACGCTGAATTCAGTGACGAGCCGGTGCTGGGAACTGATCAATCGACGCTATCACTCAACGTCAGTTATTGAGGACCTTGTCATCAGAGGAGTCCGACCCTTCGAAGAAATCCCAGGCCCCGGGGGAATCTACAACACTCCAATCATTGGACCTGCATTCCACTTTAAACCATTCTGTAAGTACATATGCTATATCACTAATGACTATTACACGGAAGTAAGTGAGTTCACATCGTCCCATGAAACGATGTTATCTTGCCATGCTGGGTTAGGGACGGGACGGACGGTGGTGTCTGCGGATGGGTTGAGATGGGGTGGGGTAAGACGGATTGAGTACAATAACGTACATAGTGTTGGCATCTACCACTTATTGTTTCCAGGTCTCACTGTCGACATTACTGTTGTATAATTGAGGCAATTTGATACAAAAAACTTTATATGAGAGAAAGTCCCCCCTCTCCCTACACACACACTTCCTCCCCTCTCCTAGAACAAATACTATTTACTATGGTACATAAGGCAGTGGTACAGGGTATATGTCCCTCTTAGACCGTGGTGTCTTGATTTCACCTGAAATATGCCTTAATTTAAAACTGTCATATGAATTGTAACTCACATTCACGGAAAAGGTCATGGTTGCCAACAATGTGTACATGCAAGAATGCCTTTTATAGTCGTAATCTGGGTTAGGATAGAGCACGCCTCGCGAAACATCGATTCAGTATCCGGCCCTCTCAGTCTCTTCAAAAGTACGCTTGCACTTGCTACACGGCTCTGCGTGAAGGACGAACAACAAAGCTGAATTTTTGCCTTTCTAAACACTTTAGATTTGATGCGGGTTCATAATTTCCTGTCATAAATTTCACATTTATAACTTCATGAAAAAATACGAACATCTTTCACTTTCGTTTAGCTATTGTTACAGTAAGAGGCTATCAGAGATTGTCATGTAATACACCAGTATAAGAATCTCACTGACTTTTCATAAGTTGACATTTTATCATAGGACATTTCATTTCTTTCTTGGTTCTCGTCAAAATGTCTTTCCTTGTAACATATCTATTTATTACTCTTGTGATGTTTGGTTTCATATCTGAAGTTAATCGAAGCTTTTAAGTTGCCTTCCTCAGCAATTGATATACCATTTCACTGTTATTGTGTTGTCTGTGATATAAGGATTAAATTCATTAATAAAAAATATTATTACTTATATTATTATATAACAAAATATAGCTGACACAAAACTAAACAGTTTTTAATAATCTCTTCCCCTTTGAAGTTCGGTGACATTGATCTTTATATAATTATAATGTCTATTTATGTCGTACATGTCATACACCAATTCGTTACACTTAAATAATTTAAAGTTTCACATAAATATAATTTCCCGAATGTTTAAATTCTTCAGAAATACTCTCAAATGCTATACCTGGATAGGGAGTGACAATAAAATCATACAATCACCTCAAAGCTGAAACAAATTATTTTATCATGATGGTAAAACATAACGCTATGAAAAGGTAACGAGAAACGGATCAGGTAATCCTTAGTTTAGGCAACTGGAAAATAGCGATATGCAAACATCCACGAGCGTGCACAAACACAAATACTCTACTAAACACTTTATTTACACTCTGGCCACGTTCTGCGGCATTAGCGCTACATGTTTACACCATTATTATGTACAGCTTACATATGTTACATACATGTAAGATACACAAATTGGTAAAATATACATATCGATTGGTTGCAAGCGTAAGCAATGTGTATACATGCATTTAACAAGGTTTTATTTTGGGGCGTTGCTTGAAATGACACGTTATTATTTTGCATAATATTGCTAATTTCCTAATTATTCCTAGTTTATTGCAATGAAGAAGCTGGTTCACTTTGTGCATATTCGGATTTCTACAGTAATATTTGTTGATGTATTTTATACTTTCAAGGACCAAAGGCAAATAAACAGAGAGTGAAATTCATCTCAATATCCATTGAATTACAAAGAGAACATAATCTTTCATTTGAGGGTGGATTACTCCATACATATGACTCATTCCAGTTTGGTCAATTGTGTTCTTAATACAGGCAATACATGTATGGCGATATGTGTTTCAGATTGTAACATGATACAGTAATTTGTAAATAAAGAGAGAAAATGTAGAAGCCCTTCCTGAAATGAGTTGTCCCCCAAAGAGTAGCATTCGTGATTTAATTTCAATTTTCAGTGGACATCTCCCTAGTTCCCCAATTATCAGGAATGATGTTTTCTTAATGAGAGGAGTTCCTTTCAACGTTTCAAATTTCCTATTTTTACCCAATAATAATTACCAAAACCCCATTATTCAAACCCAGCAAGAAGTATAGGAGCAACAAAGCAACCGGGTAATCGTAACTAACAATCACAAGACAAATTAAGTAATCTATCTTTGCTTAAAACGGAATACATACATAGCTTTGGTGGCCTTCTCAGCTAGACTCTTTTCATTTAAAGTAAATCTGTAATTTTTTGCACAGTAATTCCTAGGTATTTTTAGACGGCACGTTCCCTTTAATGTGTTGTCCAAATTTGAAACAGTATCTATAATCTCTTTGGGAACCACCAAACATAAGTATACTTGTTTTGGATACATATATATTAAGTTTTCTTGTTTAACGATATTTATCAAAGCTATTATTATTAGCATATATCAAAACAAATAGACTTATCCCAGTTTCTAAGCGGTTGTAATTCACCAGGATGTAATTCGACTCCTTTACAGTTGTCATTTGTACATTTTATTCCAGATCATTCAGAAATATTGTAAATAGTATCGGTGATAAATGTTCACCTCGTCGAACGCCGAATGATTTTCATTTGTGTAACTGAGGCAATTATTTCGTTCTTTGCTACGGTACCATTTAGAAATGTACTGTCATTAAATTCGAAATCGTTAACAGAGTTAATGTCAAAATCAATATCTCCCGGTCCTTCATTTACCATTTAGAAAAAAACAACATACGGTCGTTTTTTGTCGGGGAGCTTCGTCGGGTCACCTTTTTTACCTTTCAATAGAGTCAAATTTAAATTTTAGAAATTTATCTTGAAGGCTTTTAGAGTGCAGTCTTGGAAATCTTAAAAGGTAACGGTTGTATTCTTTACTTGCACTTATTTGTTCTTATGTGGAAGACTACGATAGGTTTTGAACGCCTAAGGGCCCCAACATATTTTCCTCGAAATATTTTGCACGGTTTTCCGAAAAAATGTCTTGTTTTTTTTCTTTTTGGAGCAAAGTTTTTAAATTTTCTCTTTTTAACAAACCGAAATAGTTGGCGGTTGTGGTGGTGGTTACACTGCATAGTTCATCGTTTACTGCGGTAATAACATCAAGTGGATCTTTGTGAACATAAATCATGAACAGCAGACTCGACATTGTCTCTGTCAGTAGCATCCATTTAATCATTAATACGAGATTTGTCCCATTTTCGAATGTGGCTTACATGGTTGAGAGGGGCGTGACTGCCTTCGCTTGTATCATTATCATGATTATGTGAAACTGAAAAGGGCAAAGATATAGTGAACATTTGCATCAGATTACAATGGGTTAAAGTCGAGCAGTGTAATTTTTTTCATGGCCCATAGGATAATTCCGCTTACACTTGAGTAATCCACTAGACTGACCCATTTACTACGAGTTACCTCACCAATACCTTTGTCTGTGCAAGAAAGAGTTCAAGAAATTTAATATCCGCGTATATTAACTTTGCCTTTGTCCTGATTAAATCTCTCAAGCGAGATATCAGCTGATTCCTGTTTTTCAGCATCGTTAACAATATCACACTCAACAGTAACATAGTCTCGTAAAATACCCGTTCGCGAGTTCATGTCATAAACAATTAGTATAATTTTAGATTTAGTTGAGAGTTCAGAATTCATCTGCAAGAACGTTTCGTTTGTGTAATATCGTGATCCCTCTGGGGGTGTATACGCTATACCGATATACACAGTGTCATTTTGTTCATAGTTTGTCACTTGTAACAACTCATATGATGTTTCAAACCAGAGAAAAAACTCCGACCCACACTCCAACTTTTTGAAGTGATTAGTTTTATCATTTCTGATCACTGCCAGTATTCCTCCCGAATTTCTGTTTAGTTTAAACTTACATATTTTATTCACAAAGTGAGAAGAATCGGGGACAAGTCCTTACAACTTTAAAACCCTCTATAAGATATTTACAATGGCAAATTTCTGCACAAGCAATTATAAGAAACAGACACAGAGAGAGGACGATTGACAGTTTAGGGGAAATATTATAATATAAAAGGTGTATAGAAAAAAGACAACTGGAATCGTTTAGATTTGCTTATATACTGATGTACATTTTTTAAATATAATTTCATTTTTATGATTTGTCAGATCTGCAATGCCGTTTAGAAGAACAGTTAGTGTAATCACAGAATTACTAGCACATACATCTTGCATAGCTTTAAACATGATCTTTCTATGTATATTGTATATAAAGAACATTCTAAGAATAGTCATGAGCATTTTCGCATGGCTTACCACATGCGCAGGATGGATTAGTGATTGTCCCTATACTGTACAGATCGTAACTTAATCTACTAGCTCCATGACATATTTGCGTATGTAATATGTTACATTTTCTAATACAGTGAGATAAGTTCAGCGGAGCTGAAATATATGATGTTATTATACTCGATTTAATCAATCTAATAGTCGATGGGAAGAACGACTCATGAGAATTGTTTACTCTTGTTCTTGGCAAGGAGATATTGCCTGAATTTCTTAAATGATATCGACTCCTGGACCCTACGGACTGAGGACTTATTTCTTTTAGGTAGATTTTTGTTGTTGTTGTTTGGAATATTACAGAACAAAGACAATGTTCTTATTCTTCTACGCTCTGATAGTGCTTCCAAGCCAGTTTCATAATAAAGTGCATTAAAAGAAGAATATTTGGGAGGTCCTGTAATAATTCTTGCAGCTTATGTGCAGCTTCTGTCTTATCTGGATTGTATGATATCAACCACTTGCTTGCAGAATCATTTACCCTTCTGAGATTTACGTTTAATGAGGTTTCTATTCTGTTAAGATTCTCAGAAGCCTTGCCTAATGATGTGTCATCTGAAAATAGTCGAGTTATACAATCTAAGTCATCAGCAATATCGTTTACATAAACGATGAATAGAAACAGCCCCAACACTGATCCCCGTGGGAGGCCAGCTTGGAGTAACCTTGGTTTAGACAGGGCTCCATTAACAAAGACTTTTGATAGCGATTACGTATATAATTACATAACCACTCTAACAACCTACCTTTTGTATCATGCATTTCCAATTTATGTATAAGCCCTCTGTGACAAACACTATCAAAAGCCTTCGAAACATCACCAAAAAAAACATACAATATTGGTCCAGAGCTTGGTATATTTGATGATATTTTTCAATTAATTGATGGACAGGTGAACTCCAGCTTGAAAACCACCTTGCCATTTGTACAATAACTTGTTCTCGTTGAAATAGTTATATATTTGCTTAAATACAACTCTCCCAAACAGATTACCGACACAACTTATAAATGAATTTCTGTTACTGTCCGCTGTTCTGTTGTGATATAATTTTGTAAATCCTTGAATATCAATATAAACATAACTGTCTAATTTTGTTTCCACAAAGCATAGTATATCATAGTTATAGTGTATCATTTTCCTGAATCCCCTAATGAGTAATCTTGTGTTTAAGTCTACATACGTTGATATAGAGCATGTTGAATGAGTCATGAAATGTCTGCACGGATACCGCAATTTGATACTTCTGAGAATCCTGAATTCCCAGTTACGATGAGGTAACCTAAAAGGGCTATGTATGCAGTCCCCATGCAAATGTATTTGAGCATGTCTTGAGTAATGAAATAAATACACGTCTCACCGCTAAATAACAACACGATCATTAATGATCAGATGTGTCACGGATGATAGGTCGAGGCCGATGGGGCAAGGTTGCTGCAACAAGAGCTCCCGTTCCTACAGTTAGAAGGAATCGCGTCTCAAACGCCATATGATACCCCTACTTGGATTGTTTTCAGAAACTTTCTTTAAAGTGACGGAAATAACCTTATTGTATGATAACTCGATCCCAGATGTGCGTCACGGTGACGCACACGTGTAACCTCTGGGTTATGTGTGTCGCGACCGACAATATCTGCTAACATTCATTCCACGGGTCACGCAGATGTAGGCTATTTGGACTTGGAAAGCCAGTACGTGACGAAATCCATTAAATGAACCCGACAATGCTTTACTTGATATAATCTCTTGTCCCTTCACACACACGATTTCTAAAACACTTGAATTAGTGTCATCATTATAAGAATAAATTTGAAGTTTCCACAAATATATTAGTTACTTTTGTTTGCGTTACCTGTTTTTTCTAATGCTGTAGAAAAGAATAACATGTTATGTTACCTTGCTCAACCAGGCAGCTAAGCGTGTATATGCATGTTATGAAGTATAACTAACTAGTTGATCAACATCTGTTATTTTTCCTGGGGAAAATCGGGACGGTTCATTTGTTTCGAACCGATCCATCCGACAAGCCAGGTAATAATTGTATTGATTCCTGCTTCTAAGTTATTCACAACCGTAGGTATTGTAGTTATTTTCGTAAATATTGTTTGCACCTACGTTTATATATATAACAGTTGTATTGAACTGGATGACAAACTATTCACAACCGTAGGTATTGCAGCTTATGAAACATACAGGAGTGAAATTGGCACTGTGTGTTGTTTTCAATCTATTTAAATATATCTAACTGTATACCTGTCAACGTTTTTAAAAAAACAAACTTTTCATATATATTATATATATGTATTGTCGCAAGTATTCAAAAAAGATGTAGCTACCAACAATATTTCTGAAAATGTACTAAATACCTCACATCAAACCTAACCACCACACACCACCACACATCACCTCGCCCCATCCGCAGACACCACCACAAGTGCTTGCCCGGTGGTTTAAGAGTTGGCTTTTAAGCTCCAGGGTTGATTCCAGTCAGCAAACAAACATGCCATGCTCTTTATGTGGGCCCATTTTGCCATGCCTGCACCGTGATGTGACCAGAATTTCCCCAAAACAGATACAAACTCCACTCACTCACACACTCACTCTCTATTTCAACAGCAAGTCACACCATAGAGAAAGTCCACCATCTGTTCAATGAGCTGGTTGATACGCACGGATCACTGGTACGGATCAACTTAGGCAAGTGGTGTGTGCTGGTTGAAGATGCTGCTGATATAGAAACTGTGATGAAGAACGAAGGAAAGTGCCCAAGGAGAGATGGTCATCTGATCCACGAACTGTACTGCGAAAATTCTGGACTCCGGAAAGGACTCATTCTCCTGTGAGTTGATCTTTACTTTTGCTTGTTGTCAGCATAAAGTGTGTCTCTAATACAGGGGTCCATTCTGTACCAAGCTGACAAGGTAAGGATGTCATCTATGGCATGACTCTGCTACATGACTCTGCTACATGGTCCCCCGCCAACATGAGATACTGCCCGGGCCGCATAGCAGGGTACTGAGACATATTTTGCTCAAATTTCATATATAAACGTGCTCAGCCCACGTTGGGCGCCAATGTAGCGGCCATAAATTTTCCGAGTCCCACATGACCAAAGAGGTTAACCCCGTTAACAAGCTGACAAGGTAAGGATGTCATCCGTGGGATGACTCCATGCCCTGCTACATGTGCATTACGGTGTTATTGTGACGTGAGGCGTTATGCAGTTGTGGTGAAGTAAGACAGTTGTCGAGGAACGAGGTATTATATAACCGTGGTGAACTATTGCATTATGTAATTGTTGTGAAGTACGGCTTTATAAAGATCGTTCATTCATTCATTCACTCATTCATAGTGGTTGTGGAGTGTTTCATTTCATAGTTATTTTGTTTTTATTATACTAATATTTGTATAGCGCTAATATCCAGCTCAGCTGCTCAAAGGCGCTTTGCTTCTCCCTCGTTGATTGGATGTGAATCTCAAACGGCACATCGTATTATCAATCTAAAACTCCCTGGGGATCATAGTTATTGGGAAATGTTACATTACATGGTTGATGTGTGGAGTAAGATATTCTCTCATTAATGTGAAAATACGGAATGAAGACCGGTCGTAAATGAAGGGATTACATAGCTTGTGTGAAGTAAAACAGTGGATGGTTGTACGAAGTAAGGCATTGGGTGGTTGTGTTAAGTAAGGCATTGTGTGGTTGTGTTAAGTAAGGCATTGTGTGGTTGTGCGAAGTAGGGCATTTGGTGGTTGTACGAAGTAAGGCATTGGATGAGAGTGTTCAGTAAGGCATAGGATGAGTGTGTGAAGCAAGGCATTGGCTGAGCGTGTTCAGTAAGGCATTGGATGGTTGTGTGAAGTAAGGCATTGGATGAGTGTGTTCAGTAAGGCATTGGATGAGTGTGTTCAGTAAGGCATTGGATGGTTGTGTGAAGTAAGGCATTGAAATGGTTGTGTTCAAGTAAGGCATTGGATGGTTGTGTGAAGTAAGGCATTGGATGGTTGTGTGAAGTAAGGCATTGGATGGCATTGGCTGGTTGTGTGAAGTAAGGCATAAGGCATTGATGGTTGTTCCAGTAAGGCATTGGATGGTTGTGTGTGGTTGTGTGTAAGGCATTGGATGGTTTCAGTGTTCATGAGTAAAGGCATTGGATGGTTGTGTTCAGTAAGGCATTGGATGAGTTGTGTTCAAGTAAGGCATTGGATGAGTGTGTGAGTAAGGCATTGGATGAGTTCAGTGTTCAGTAAGGCATTGGATGGTTGTGTGTTCAGTAAGGCATTGGATGGGCATTGGATGAGTTCAGTAAGGCATTGGATGAGTGTGTTCAGTAAGGCATTGGATGAGTGTGTTCAGTAAGGCATTGGATGAGTGTGTTCAGTAAGGCATTGGATGAGTTGTGTTCAGTAAGGCATTGGATGAGTTGTGTTCAGTAAGGCATTGGATGAGTGGTTTTCAGTAAGGCATTGGATGTAAGTGTTCAGTAAGGCATTGGATGGTTGTGTTCAGTAAGGCATTGTTGTATGAGTGGATGTGTTCAGTAAGGCATTGGATGAGTTGTGTTCAGTAAGGCATTGGATGATTGGTGAAGGCATTGGATGAGTGTGTTCAGTAAGGCATTGGATGAGTGTGTTCAGTAAGGCATTGGATGGTTGTGTGAAGCAAGGCATTGAAATGGTTGTGTGAAGTAAGGCATTGGATGGTTGTATGAAGTAAGGCATTGGATGAGTGTGTTCAGTAAGGCATTGGATGGTTGTGTTCAAGTAAGGCATTGGATGGTTGTGTTCAGTAAGGCATTGGATGAGTGTGTTCAGTAAGGCATTGGATGGTTGTGTTCAGTAAGGCATTGGATGTTGTGTTCAGTAAGGCATTGGATGGTTGTGTTCAGTAAGGCATTGGATGGTTGTGTGAAGTAAGGCATTGGATGGTTGTGTTCAGTAAGGCATTGGATGGTTGTGTTCAGTAAGGCATTGGATGGTTGTGTGAAGTAAGGCATTGGATGGAGTGTGTTCAGTAAGGCATTGGATGGCATTGGATGGTTGTGTTTGTGTAAGGCATTGGATGAGTGTGTTCAGTAAGGCATTGGATGAGTTGTGTGAAGTAAGGCATTGGATGAGTGTGTTCAGTAAGGCATTGGATGAGTGTGTTCAGTAAGGCATTGGATGGTTGTGTTCAGTAAGGCATTGGATGAGTGTGTTCAGTAAGGCATTGGATGAGTGTGTTCAGTAAGGCATTGGATGAGTGTATTCAGTAAGGCATTGGATGGTTGTGTGAAGTAAGGCATTGGATGAGTGTGTTCAGTAAGGCATTGGATGAGTGTGTTCAGTAAGGCATTGGATGAGTGTGTTCAGTAAGGCAGTGGATGGTTGTTTGAACCAAGGCATTGAAATGGTTGTGTGAAGTAAGGCATTGGATGGTTGTATGAAGTAAGGCATGGTCTATTTGTTCTGAAAGAAGGCATTACACAGTTGTTTTGAAGTACGACGTACGCATACTTGATCTGAATTAAGGCATTACACAGTTGTTGTGAAGTGTTTGTGTGATGTGCATTCGATTATGGTGGTGGATTTAAGTATGGCATATCTTGGTTTATGTAAAATGTGGCCAAAAGAGAACAAAAGGCCTGCCAATTAGTGACATTACTGATGTGTGTTTGTTTTAATTGATCATAAAACTGTAGGGGAGTAATACCCTTATCGCTTATGTCAGCTTAGAAAAACACGACTTTCATGACAATGATCGGGTAAGGTTACAGATGCATATGAAAAAAAAACACATACAAACAGAAATAAAGTTGAGAGGGTTACTGAATTCTTGTTCAGAACATCTGTACTCTTGCGTTGTACCCGGATACCATCGAAATGTCACACCACCCAGTGTGAGGATGTTTATAGAGAGGGTTTTCAAAACATGAAAGAAATTATGCTGATGCTGTCACAAGGTTTAAAACGAGTCCATGGTAACTGGGTCATTTAATTCAAATGAAAAGTGTTATCGAAATGTGGCCTCTTTTCAAAGGAAGTTGCCTGCTTAACAGGTTATAAATAGACACTTTATCTAAAATTACCTTAGCCAGACTTCCACTGTCGTTTAATCTAGACAGTGTATCTTCCATTGTAATTGTAACACACATACACACATGGGAGTAATCGTGCATACATCTACGTTGGTAATACTTACTTCTGTGTAGAAGATACATACATCTACGTTTATAATACTTACTTCTGTGTAGAAGATACATACATTTACGTTGATAATACTTACTTCTGGGTAGAAGATACATACATTTACGTTGATAATACTTATTTCTTTGTAGAAGATGCATACATCTACGTTGAAAATACTTACTTCTGTGTAGACGATACATACATTTACGTTGATAATACTTACTTCTATGTTGAAGATACATACATCTACGTTTATAATACTTACTTATGTGTAGAAGATAAATATCTACGTTGATAATACTTACTTCTGTGTAGAAGATGCATACATCTACGTTGATAATGCTTACTTCTGTGTAGAAGATACATACATCTACGTTGATAATACTTACTTCTGTGTAGAAGATACATACATCTACGTTGATAATACTTACTTCTGTGTAGAAGATACATACATTACTAATCTTACTGTGTGGAAGATACATACATCTACGTTGATAATACTTACTTTTGATGTAGAAGATACATACATCTACGTTGATAATACTTACTTCTGTGTAGAAGATACATACATCTACGTTGATAATACTTACTTCTGTGTAGAAGATACATACATCTACGTTGATAATACTTACTTCTGTGTAGAAGATTCTGTGATAGAAGATATACATACATCTACGTTGATAATACTTACTTCTGTGTAGAAGATACATACATCTACGTTGATAATCTACGTTGATAATACTACGTTGATAATACTTACTTTACATCTACGTAGAAGATACATACATCTACGTTGATAATACTTACTTCTGTGTAGAAGATACATACATCTACGTTGATAATACTTACTTTTATGTAGAAGATACATACATCTACGTTGATAATACTTACTTCTGTGTAGAAGATACATACATCTACGTTGATAATACTTACTTCTGTGTAGAAGATACATACATCTACGTTGATAATACTTACTTGATAATACACTTCTGTGTAGAAGATACATACTTTAATGTAGAAGATACATACATCTATTGATAATACTTACTTCTGTCATACATCTACGTTGATAATACTTACTTCATGTTGATAATACTTACTTCTGTGTAGAAGATACACGTTGATAATACATTTTATGTAGAAGATATATACTCTACGTTGATAATACTTACTTTTGTGTAGAAGATATACATACGTTGATCTACTTCTGTTGATAATACTTGACTTACTTCTGTGTAGAAGATACATACATCTACGTTGATAATACTTACTTCTGTGTAGAAGATACATCTACGTTGATACATCTACGTTGATAATACTTTTTGTGTAGAAGATATATACTCTACGTCTTACTTTTATGTAGAAGATACATATTTACGTTGATAATACTACTTCTGTGTGAAGATAATACATCTACGTTGATAATACTTACTTCTGTGTAGAAGATACATATACGTTGATCTACGTTGATAATACGTCTACGTTGATAATACTTACTTTTATGTAGAAGATATATACGTCTACGTTGATAATACTTACTTTTATGTAGAAGATACATACATCTACGTTGATAATACTTACTTCTGTGTAGAAGATACATACATGTACGTTGATAATACTTACTTCTATGACACCTTCGTCTACATAAAAGTTTATGATAATCTCCTT